TAAGTTAAAGTTTCTTCAGTCTGACACTTGACCTCAGCTGGACCTCTTGCTATTCCACTTTATTGAGTGTTTAAATGTTTATTGTACGGTGGAATTCCCCTTTTCCCTCCAAAATACATAAATAAATACATAAAAATCAATTTGAGGTGCGGCGCTGTAACTTTTAGACCAACTGCGCCCTCTAGCGGTCGAAAGAAATAATGTCTCTCAAGAATGACAACAAACATGGCGGCTCGGACTTACTAAAATCGTGGTGAACGGAAGACGATGAAGAAGAATTGCACTATCAGGCATAAACATGGAGTAAGACGTAACATTTACTGTATACAGTGAGTGTACGGCCACTGACTACTTAGCTCAGCCTGCTCTTTTCAGAATTGTGCTTCCTTTCAGGTTGACTATGTATGTTACCAGCCAGTTACAGACAAAGGACGCTGTCTGTAACCCAGTAAAAATACCCACTACAACTTCTTATCTAGTAGCTCAAGTATAACAATTTCGAGTGCTCCAACAATGGACACCAAAGAAATCACACGACACGCAATGCAAATAGAAAAACTACACAAGGAGGGCAATTATGAAGATGTGTCATCTCTGCTGGCAGACTTGAACAGCAGTGCTGTCACCTTAGAGCAGCTGCAGACCACTGACATTGCCAGGACTGTTTATCAGCTCTTAAAGTCATGTCCAGCAACTACTGTTCGGAAAACAGCGAAGGGACTGCTCTCAAAATGGAAGCGGCTGTACGGCTCACATGAATACAAAAATGTCAAAGGCTGTCAAATAAATGAACGTGAACCACCTGACAAAGGTAAAACCGAAATAGCTCAATCTGTTCCCAGTGAACAGCAAGTGGACGGAAAAGTGAATGAGCGTGAAACAGTTTTGTGCCACACAGTTGTCAGCCAAGACTCTAATCTCGATTCAGATCAGCTGTCTTCTGAAGGGACTGCTTCGTCACCGGAGATAAAAGAATGCACAACTTCTCTGAAGGCAGAGGACGGCGAGGCTGCTGCCTCAGCACAAAAGAACCACACTGGAGAAGAAGATTCAAGAACTTTCTCAGTGGTTCCACCTCAGCCTAGAAGTCCCACGGACTCTCCAGCTTTGAGAACCAAATGCATAGAGCTTCTACTCCAGGCCTTAACCCCATCTCAGAAAACAGATCCTGAGAACACCTTCCAGCTGTCCACCATAGCTCATGCCATTGAAAAGCACATTCATGCTGTCCATGGCCAGAACCAGGTCAAGTACAAGTCCTGCATAAGAAGCAGGGTAGCAAACCTGAAGAACCCAAAGAACCCTCACCTCCGTCAGGGTCTGCTGACTGGAACCCTGACTCCGGAGGTTTTTGCTCGGATGTCAGTGGAGGAGATGGCTGGCGAGGAGCTACGGAGGCTGAGAGAGGGCTACACGGCTGCAGCCATCAGTGAACACCAGCTCCCACAGAGACTGGAAGGGACGACCACCACAAAGGTGCGCTGTCAGCGCTGCCAGGGCATGAACTGCAGGGTGACCCAGGTCCCCCGTGGGACGCTTTTCCTACCCTCTTGGGTGAGGAGTGGGAACGCAGACGAGGACGCCATGACCTTCTTGACCTGCACTGGCTGTGGGGAGCAGTGGTACCATAGCCAATGGGTGTGCCTTTGAATAAGCCTAGTGGAGACAAGGACTGGAGATTAATTTATGACGTCTAATGTTTAAAAAAAGTGTTATTGATATATTATTTAAAGTAGTAGTTTGCTAAAATAAAAATAAATTTATATTATTGTCACATTACATCAAATGTGGTCGATTAGCCAAATCTTCTTTGATCTTGTGTTGGAGCTACAAGGCTAATATAGCGTCATGCAGAAAAACTTACAATAATAATGGACAAAAGTATAGACAAAATTGAGGTTTCAATATAATTGCTACTTCTACTTTTAGCGTGACATACTTTTGTCCATTTTTATAGATATAAGGTACATGCTGTAAATTACAACCTCAGCTTTCCAAAAAAGTTGGGACACTGCAAAACGTACACAAAACAGAATTAAATGATGTGCAAATCATTTAAACCCTATATTTAATTGAAAATAGTACAAAGACAACATATTAAATGTTGAAACTGAGAAATTTTATTGTTAAACACAAAATATTTTCGTGTTTAATGTGCCAAATATTTTCAATGAGTGACAAGTCTGGACTGCAGGCAGGCCAGTTTGGCACCCTAACTCTTTTACTACAGAGCCATGCTGTTGTAATACATGCAGAATGTGGTTTGGCATTGTCTTGCTAAAATAAGCAAGGCCTTCCCTGAAAAAGACAATATCTGGATGGCAGCATATGTTGCCAAAACCTGTATATATTGCTGAATATTAATGGTGCCTTTACAGATGTGCAAGTCACCCATGCCATGTGCGCTAATGCACCCCCATACCATCATGGATGCTGGCTTTTGAACTGTGCGCTTATGCGAAGCTGGATGGTCCCTCTCTTTAGCCCAGAGTATGCCGCGTCCAGCATTTCCACATTTTGATTTTTGAGGACACTTTTCCACTTCCCCTCAGTCCATTTTAAAAGAGCTCAGGCCTGGAAAGGGCAGTGGTGTTTCTGGATCCTGTTTGTATATGGTTTCTGTTTTGCATGGTAGAGTTCTAACTTGCATTTGTGGATGCAGCAACAAACTGTTCACAGACAGTGGCTTTCAGGAGTGTTCCTGAACCCATGCAGTGATTTCCACTTAGGAATCATGTCTATTTTTTATGCAGTGCCACCTGAGGGCCCAAAGATCACGGCCAATCAATATTGGTTTTTCAGCCATGCCCCTTGCATACAGAGATTACTTCAGATTCTCTGAATCTTTTAATGATATTATGTAGGGTAGATGATGAAATCCCCAAGTTCGTGCAAAACATTATTCTTGAATTGCTGCACTATTTTCTTGTATAGTCTTTTACAAAGTGGTGAACCACTCACCATCTTCTACTTCTGGAAGACTCAGCCTGTCTGGTATGCTCTTTTAATACCCAATCATGTTACTGACAGTTAACATAATTAGTTGTTAGATGTTTCACCAGGTGTTTTATTTAGCATTACACAATTTTACCAATCTTTTCTTGTCCCTGTTTCAACTTTTTTGAAACGTGTTGCTGCATTAAATTCAGAATGGGCTTATATGTTTCAAAAAACAATACAGTTTCTCAGTTTCAACATTTGACCTGTTGTCTTTGTACTATTTTCATTTGAATACTGGGTTAAAATGATTTGCACAACATTGCATTCTGTTTTTATTTGCATTTTGCACAGCATCTCAACAAGGTTGTAGATTATTGGCCAAACCATTGCTTCATCATTTGAACCATTTCACATGTCATGAAAAAAACAACTTTTCCTCACTTTTTTAGAATAAAAGAGTTTCAAACAGTATGTCAAGATTGTTAAATGCAACGATAACTAACACATTCACATATATCCACCTATTCAGCCTACAGTAGTTTTGCTCCACCCATTCACTGAGAAGTCATAAGGAGAGTTTCAGCCCAGACTGCTTTGTGAACAAGGCCATTTTGTTTACACGGTAAGCCTCAAATTGTCTCCAAGACCAGGGTTGACCTGCTTTAGTGTATACAGCAACAGTAGTGTACTCCCTGGACCACAATATGTATTACTCTAGAGACAAAGATCCCATATTCCTGTTGTATATGTGATGACTGTGTTTACAATGTGATGTCATGCAATGTCACCAAACACAAGCTACTACAGTATTATGGTACCACTCACTCCCTCATCCTTATATGGAAACTGTATAAACAGCCCGTCTGAATTCATTGCGTGCGTTCCATTTACATGTGCCTGCTTGGCACCTAGCGGCAGGGGTGAAGAAACCTTTTTAGATGGCTATTTACAATTAAAAAGAAAAAAAAACACTTACATGGCACAGCTGGCACATGTGCTGGAAGTATATTGGAGTGCACCCATTGTTTTTAGTGATGTTACAATAACCACTGTATTTACATTATATCCACCCATTCACCCTGCAGCAGTTTTGCCCCTCACAGTTACATTGAAGTTATATGGAGCGTCTACACATAGACTCCTTTTTGCATGAGGCACAATACAGGGCAGCCAATCCAAACAGAGCTCATTTACATATATTGTTATTAAAGACACAGCAACAAACACAGCTTGTTTAACTCTAAGAGATAAAGAGAGGTTGGGAAAAAATGGTAATGTAAAAATGCTGTTTCGATACATAAAACCACACAAATGTCATAAGTGGATCTTATGCAAATAAAATATAGTATATATTCCCTTTTTGCCATTAAATGAGAAACACAAAGACTGGCCTCAGATCAGCAAAAAACTGAACTAGCGCACACGTCAATGTGCCTGTAAAGGACTTATCTGGCGCAGAGTAAACTCCCGTGGCCTTTTTGGAGACATGTGAGGCATGCAGCAAGCATGTGACCAAGTAATCTGCCCAAGATGCAGTCCAGGGGCGGATTTCCCATCATGCCTCAGCCCAAAGAGTTTCACGCATCACTGCCCAGCCAGCCTGACTGTATCTTTTCATTCATCTCTAATGATGAAGACTCTCTACTGAGAGATACTGCAGTTTTTTGGGAAATAGTCCATGTATATTGCTTAGAGAGTCTTCAGTAGTGGGGATTACATATTTCGTAATGTTTTAAATAGCATTATATTGTATTATAAGCTTGGGTTGGTTTTTTTATGGCCTTTTTGACACACAAACCAGTTAATCTAACCTGGGGAGATAACTTTATGGTGTGTGTGGAGTTGTGTGTTTAATAGTGTAGTCAATGATGCTGTTAACGATTAATAACTTGCATGTTTGGGTCGTGACAATATCAAAAGCTGACCTAATATTGTGCCTTTAGCATAAGTTCTTTGGACACTACTTCTATTGCACAATCTACTATGGTTTTAGTGTTGAGTGTACTTTTAAGGGTCACTTGGTCTCCATGGAGTGGACTGAGTGATTAGGCATGCACTTTGGTGCCCTTTTCTTTGCATTAGAGGTGTTCCCATTTTATGCCAATGAATGCTTGTTAATGATCAGCCATTATCTGTGCATGTTTGGAGGCCATTTACATCTAAAGGCTGATTGCCTCACTTACTGATCACCTGACTGGCTGCTTTTTAAGTTGTGTAACTAATCTTCACTCAATGTCTTTAACAGATTAAATGCCTGAGAGGGTCCGTAATCTTCATGTAGTGTGTATTCTGGTCATATGAGAATGCTCTGAGTAGCCTAGGGGCGCCATGGCTTGGAGAAATCCCAACATGAGGAGGAGGAAGATGTGAGGTGGCGTTGGAGGGATGCCTGTCGACTCTCGTCGCTGAACTGCAACTTTAACGGTAATATGAAACGCTGATTTTTTTGAAAAGGAAACGTTTTCTTTTGTTGAATCGTTTTATGGAGGTCGTCTAGTTTTACGAAAGTTGTCAAGCCAGTTGTAAGACTAGCGCAGATGCTAACCCAGTCAAGGTAGACTGGCTTCTCAGTCGAATTTTTCGTTCCACCTTAAATAGTGCAGTGGTTGCATTCGACCTGTGTGTTCGCCAGAATGTAACGGCTGCACCATTTAAGGTGGAACGGAGAATTCGGAAAAGAAGCTATCTTCAGCTTCGCGTTTAAATCACAGTCGACTTAGTGCTACAGCATACTACATTTGCAGAACGGTAACGTGATGAATTAACTCGCTGTCTGCTTAAATACGAGCCATTTAAACTGTTTTTACTTTTCTGGAGGCGGTTAGACGTGAATTTTGGGAATATGAAGCCAACCGTTACTAGGTAACGTTAAGTTCCGTTCTTCGGTGTTGTGAGCTACGATAAAATGCCGTTGTAAGTTAGCTAACCTAGCTAACTTGCTGGTGTGAGAAAGCCACAACTTCTGATCTTTGTTTTTAACAAGTCCCAGATTATTTCGAGAATCGAGTTATTTTCGGTGTGGTACTTCCTCGTTTTCAAGCGCCAGAACCTCAGTTTGGTCACTTGTGTCTCCAGTCTGGGGCAGCGTTATTAGCTAAATCCCAGAGCTGATCCTGTTGACATTTGTATCTTTTAGGTTTTCATTTAAACGCATTCCTTTTGCGGGACAGCCGATCATATGTTGGGTATGAATTCTCCATGAGGTTCGTCTCACATGATTCAAGGCGAACCTCTGCAATGAATGAACCTCTGTCAGACATCCTCACCGAGGAGCTGCTGCTGCTGCTGTGGGCTGTGGGCGCTGGTGTCTCTTCAGGGCAGAGCTTCTACTCCAGAGCATCTCAGGGTGGTCCTGCTGTGCCACTGCCCTGACTGTTTTCTCTGCTCAGACACACCTGACCCAAGTCATCGGCTAATTAAAGGGGAATTCCACCGTTTTTCCAAAATTTCAGCAAAATTTTGTGGTTTCAGATGTAAACAAAGTCATTCAGGGTGGTTTGATGTGAAGTGGTTTGTTGTAGAGAAACTTACTGACCTAGACTTCCTTTACAGTGGTGGTGATGGCAACCAGGGGTCACAATGTCTACAATGCAAACAAACATTTTATTTACTATCTAAAACCACCAGTGAAGCCCAGTGTGTGTCTCCTCTTGAGTTTTTAATGTAATAATGGTAATGGAGAAATGGTGGTAAATCTGGAAAAAAAAGAGTTTTCTGTGGGCACTGTTTAGCCCTACAACAGCCTGCATATATCTCTCTGCCAGGACTGTATTCTAAAAATGTGTATTAGGCCAAAATCTTTTCTCAAAACTATCAGTTATCATACAGTGTTTCCATTACTGTTTCATGTAATAATTTTCTGTGTTGCTGCTTTTACTGTGAACAGTTCTGATTTGCTAAGATTCTCTAGAATAGAGCATTTTTCATCCAGTCGCTCTGAACAGTCTTAACAGTTTAACTGCCCAAACATTTAGAAGAATTGGTGAAATTCCCTTTTGATGATGAGAAGTTATTCTTGAGAGCAGAGGAGACACCAAAATAGATGTGGCAAAGCTACTACAACAGCAGGTTTGACTTAAACACAGTGGATCATGAAATTTGTGGGTCTCTTTTGTGGAAACGTGCTGTCAGTGATCAAAATCTGGGTGTATTCTATCAGAGTAAAGTGGGCAAGGAAAGGCGAGGGGCTGATGTTATGTGCACTTATGTTAAAATGACTAGGCTTTTTTTTCTGGAGTCACAAATAAGTTATATAGCAAAAATACAGTGTAGTCTTTAATTAGAGGTTTGTAAAATCATGTAAAAACATGTTTAACACAGAAAATATCTAAAATCAATCTTGACCTCAGAATCACTGTTGAATTGACCGTATCTAAGGTCTGGAGGCTCGCCCACATGGAACATGGTTTTATGTTTTCCACACTCTGACACAGTTTATCTAAATAAACAAAGGCTTTCTTGAGTTTAATTTTGGAGGGTTAGAAGTGTTGGAAGAGGGAAAACGCTAATATCTGCAGGGTTGTGACCCTCCAGGACCCGAGTTTGACACCTCCTGCCTGTATGAACCTCTTAAGGGCTAAAAGGGTTTAATAGGTTAGGGGCTGCACAACTACATGTTTTTACTCGTTGACTAGTAATTCAAAAAAGCAGTTGACTAGTTTTCATCACCATATTAAAGGAAAAAAAGATGATTGTTCTGCATGTCAGTGAAAATTATTTTGTTCGTAGCTTGCTAATTGAGGCTGCAGTGGCAAATGCTGCTGTTTAAGCGCAGCGTATATTGTAGAAGAGTATTGTTTTCAGTGAGTTTCAGTCTCAGTCCAATGGGAAATGATTGTTTATCAAGCTGAAAGCTGTAGCAAGCAGTTTCATCTCACCAATAAGCCTGCCAGAGTGAGGTACAGACTTAGTTGCTGAGCCAGGAAGCGTGCACCCTATCCCGTTTTAAGAAGTTATTCCAGAATTTTGTGAGTACACAAATATCCTCATACATTTGCCAGCCAGTGCTCCCCAGATGTTAGTTTGTTGTTGTGACGAGCACGTCACACTACACACGCTGTGATTGGTCATTTTGTCAGTCAAATGGCCCTTTCAGAAACGGCAGTTCTCTAAACCTGCCCAGTCTGGCTTATGGGACTATATTTCAGCACAGTCGTACACAGCTTGCTGTGGAATTGGTTTCATGTAGTATTTCCACATGAACAAACTATTTTGGGCTTTGTGTTTAGCAGACAACATGACTCTTCACTGTTTTTACCAACTGCTGTATTTCAGGCAGTCCTCAACTAGACAACTCGATTAGTGGATTTATTAGTCAACGAGTCAACAAGTCTATACAGCCCCTACTTTGGGGAATGCATTTTTTGTTTCTGAAGAAATTGCTTTGTAAAGTTTGATATGGATTTGTATTCCTTATAGGTCAACCTGTGCCATTATGCTGTACTAGAATTGTTGGAGGATTGTAGAGCAGTAGTTCCCAATCCTGGTCCTGGATTTTTGTGTTCTCCATTCTCTAGTACACCCAACTCAGAAAGGGCTTGTTAATGATTAGTGTTTAGTTGTAACGGGTGTGTTAGAATAGGGAAGCTACCAAAATATGCAGGGCAGGGGTCCTTGCAGACCAGGATTGGGAACCCAGTCTTGCAGGAGTAGGTTACACTGGAGTATCTTTAAAATACAAAGCAACATGACTTCTGGATATAGAATGTAATAATGATTCTTTTGTTTCAGGCTTCTTGTGTGCTGACCTGGAATCCTCATCATGTCCTCCAAGTCGTCCCTGCTGAAGGTGATCCTGCTGGGCGATGGCGGTGTGGGCAAGTCGTCACTCATGAACCGCTACGTCTCCAACAAGTTCGACACACACCTCTTCCACACCATTGGTGTTGAGTTTCTAAACAAGGAGCTCGAGGTGGACGGACGGCTGGTCACTTTACAGATCTGGGACACTGCTGGCCAGGAGCGTTTTCGCAGCCTGCGTACGCCGTTTTATCGTGGGTCCGATTGCTGTTTGTTAACATTTAGCGTGGACGATAGCCAGAGCTTCCTCAACCTCAACCACTGGAGAAAAGAGTTTGCGTATTATGCCGATGTTAAGGAACCTGAGAGCTTTCCCTTCGTCATTCTTGGGAATAAAGTCGATGTGACCGAGCGGCAGGTGACGACAGAGGAAGCACAAAGGTGGTGCCATGAAAATGGAGGGCACCCCTACTTTGAGACCAGTGCGAAAGATGCCACAAACGTTGCAGAGGCTTTCGAGGAGGTGGTGAGGAGCGTACTAGCATCTGAGGATCGGCCTGAGCATATGCTGCCATCAGACACTGTGGATTTGCGTCGGAAACCACGGTCCAGAACTCGCTGCTGTTGATTTTTTATAATGGCAGTGGACATACACTCACTGGCTACTTTATTAGGAACTACTTTGTATCTGCTCTCATTGTCCATTTTATGTACAGTTACAGATTGTAGTACATCGGTTTCTCCGCATTCTTTATTAGCCCCCATTTACCCCATTCATGGGTCAGGACTGTCACAGGGCCACCACAGAGCTGGTATTATTTGGGTGGTAGATCACTTTCAGCACTGCAATGACACTTAAATTTTACTCACTTTTTTAAATAAAAGAGATTAATATATGTGCCTGCATAGCACTGCTATGTCTGATCCACTCATACCAGTGCAACACACATTAACACAACACCACCATGCCAGTGTCACTGCAGTGCTGAGAATGATCCACCATCCAAATAGCACATGCTCTGTGGAGGTCCTGTAGGGATCCTGATCATTGAAGAACAGTGTACAAGGGGGCTAACAAAGTATGTAGAGCAACAGATAAACTACAGTCTGCTGTAATTGTAGAAGTACTGTTACCTGATTGGTAAGAATAGCTGATAAAATAGACAATGAGTTTAGATAAAAAGAGGTGTACCTAAAGGAGTGGCCAGTCAGTGCATGTGCACATCGTAAAGCTGCTTAATGAAGCTTTTGTGCAGCAGGTGGAGCTAGTGAGCAAACAACTTTAGTTCAGAATTTCAACAAGTTTTCAAAAACTCATCTGGAGCAAAGACAAGTGCTTATTATGAGTGAAGTTTATATTGACAACAGTACAGTTGTCTGTGTTCTCCTAGTATTTTATTATGTACAAGCAAATGACTTAACTTTTAATTGAAAATGTAATAAATTGCAATGAAATTATCACCAAAAGTGAAGGGAGTTTAAGTCTGGACTGTCAAGTCTGGAGATTTCCTGTTGAAACTTAATCAGTCAATGAAATCATTAAATAAATAAATCAGTGTCTCATATCTGTAATTATGGTAAAGAGTAACTGTTCAAAGAAATCCAAGATTTTGAGCCAATTTTGTATTTTCTTGAACATTTTTTCCTGTGATTGTTTTGTATTTAGTTGGGATGCACCGATATGGGAATTGTGTGCTGATGCAGATATATATATATATTTTTTTCAGATATTTTTTTTTTTTTCATGTACATATCTGCTGATGCAGATTCCTAAACATCTTTAAAATGGAGAAATTTGGGCTTCATGTACCTGAATTAGCATTACAGAGAAATATATCATTAATGTGTGTGTGTGTGTGTGTGTGTATATATATATATATATCTGTACAGTTATATTATATGCAAAACCTTTAACATTCCTGGTCAAATGACATGTTTTATAGATTTAGTGAAAATAAGTTAACACATTCTCTACGAGTAACAAACTTGCATATTTTATTTTATTTTGCTTTTATTTATTTTTTTGTTGTTTTACTACACAATTTCTGTTAATTTGCTGGCTTTAACATATTGGGGAAAAAATTAAGCAGAAGATTTAGTTTTTTTTCTTCAGTGTATTAAATTCAGCAAATAAACAGTAGTTCTGCATTAAAATGTGCATAAATGTGTTCTCTGTAGATGATGTATTAACCTATGTAACTTTATCTGAACTAAAATGTAATTTGACCAGAGGCGCCCAAACATCAGCAGATATTGATTTGAAATGTCGGTCAAATCTAATCATTTTTCTCTAATCAATTATCTGCCAATCATTGTGGATTCCTAAGCTGCCTTAGAGAATTGTAAATGACATTATCAGTCATGAAAAGGCTAGTAAACTAAAAAACCTTTTGACTAGTGCTTTAAGTACAGACTCTTCAGGGATTTCTTTTTTTCGCTCAGTAGTGCCTTTTCACTCCCGATGGACAAATCTTCAGTTAGGCAGCTGTAATATATATGAACACTACTGAAACACATGGTGCATTGTTGCTAGCATCTTCCTTCTAGTTTGGCTAGACACAGTACATAAATAAAAACATACACACTCATTAATGTGAAATAATAAGAGGTCCAGCTGAGGACAAGTGTCAGACTTAAGAAACGTCCTGCACCAACAGTGCAGATCTTTCTTCATGTCTTATAAATGCATTGAACATCCATTTATCTTTGGACACCCTTAAAGGAAAATTCCACTGATTATTTTTTGTAAAATGTCTGTATATTTCAGTCGTTGAGAGTAAACAGATTTATTCAGAGTGGTTTGATGTGAAATGGTTCACTGTAGAGAAACATAGCAGCTATAATCAGCTTTCTGTACAGTGGTGTGGACAAGAAGCAGAGGTCATGAAAAAAAATCTTTGGGTTCCATTTTGCATTGCATTTGCATTTACTTCTCCACTATGAAGGTATTTTAAAAAGACATTTTAGCCAGAACCTTCTCAAAACTGTCGTAAAACAATCAGAACTTGGCAGCATATTCCCTGTATTTAATGTAATAACATTAAATCAGGAAGCTTTTAGAGGCATTAAAATCTTCAGATGTCTGGTTCCCTTCACCAACACTGTGAACAGTTCTGACTCTAAGTTTCTCTAGAACTGAAAAGTTCATATTGAACCACTCTGAAAGACTTTATGTACATCTTCTCTTGATTAAATTTTGATTACTTTTAAATGATCTTTCTAGCACCTGTTTCTGTAGAGACACTACATATGGCATCTTTTCATCTTAGAACAATTTACTTTTTTTGGTTCTTTTTCTTTTCGTTGCTTCACATATGCATGTGTCTGAACTGTTTCTTAATAAAAGGGCATCAGTTTCATCATAACAGCACATTATAAAAGCTTTTCCTACTTTAAAAAAAGACATGGAATGTAAACACTTTTCACTACTATATCACTAAATGACTTTATGAAAAAGCAATCAGCTTGTAAGGTTAGTGGCTAGAGGCCAAATGTGATCTTCATTTATGATTCATTTTTTTTGTCTTAGCTTGATGACAGAGAAAGTATTTGGTAGACTTTTCTGAATTAACGTATATTTTCTCCGTAGTTCTACTTTTTTCATGGTCATTCCATTTCCAGAGGACATCGAATAGGCTACTGCAGACAGAACTGTTTGTAAAAGTGTAGCATCGAATAGTGGTCATCTTCCACAATGTGCATTAGTCTTAGCACTTTAATAAGCAAAACTGCCATGAATACCGTGAATAGAGATGGGACAGCTGATGGTTTTAATGCTATATAATAGCATATTTTAATATTTTTAATATAATAATCCCCACAACCATTACCAGCATTTTAAAAAGTGGAAGTAAAATACACAACTGCCATTCTTCCACATGCCATACATAGTATAAACTGTAAATAGTAATAAAAGTGATAATAATTTCATATTTATTTGAACTGTAATAGATTTTATGTAAAGACATCAGACGTTCAATAGCTGATCAATGTAATACCTGTAGTGAAATGATTTGAATGTTTAATCCCAAAAACCATGATCATTTTCATCACTGATATAGGAAATTCTCATAACGTCTCATCCCTAGCCATGAATTCATACTGCCATAGGACCCTCTTCATATTTATGCTCCATGATAAAAGGGTAAGCCCTGATAAATGGATGATAATATCAACTGCTTATTGTAATTTACCACTCTGCAGAAAATCCACAGCAAAGCTGACAATGAGGATGTCTACAAGAGAATTTCTGCCACTTTCTCTTTTGTGCGCTGTATAATTTTTAGGCATCTTGTAATAAATTAAGCATTTGTGGAAACAGCTAGTACTGGTGTGGATTTGTCACTCTGAGCGCATGATTGTTATGAATTTTAACATGAAACTCACTTTGGAGGCCCTGTAGAATAAGAAAATATCTAGAAAGCACAGAACTTCAGGACCTGATTTAGATATACAGAGAAAACGTTCAGTAAAGGAAGTTCTGTTCTATATATTCCATACATATTCATATGTATGTTCTATACATGTTGACATTGTCAGTTCCAGTTAATGAATATTTACTTGCCAATAGATTCTGTTTAACTGCTTCTGTTTAACTGTTGGATGAGCAAAGGACACTCAATTCAGGCATGCATCTGTGAGTCAGTTCAACTAATTCTGTGTTACGTGTAATTAATGAATGCTAACGTGAAGTGATTTTGGACCATTTCTGTCGGTCTGTTTATTGTGGAATGAAGACTGATTGAGGGAGGGAGAGAAATCTGAGAACTTGGGCTGGAGTTCCAGGCTGCTTCTGCTTGGAGCTAGAAGGCCAGACCCCCTAGTTTGGGTGGTGTTTTGACTGACATAGGAATAGGGAAGGAGAGGTGGTGGTGCTTGGGATTAGGTAACTTTGTCACAGGAAACAGAAGGTAGAAAATGGCAATTATAGGGCGTTAGGCTGGAAGTAGAAGGGGTTTTTAGATTATCTCCTTTTCACAGTAGCCATTCGCATGTTTTGGAGGTCCCTCACTTGAACTATGCATTTTTTTCTTCAGTGACGTTGATGGAATATACTTCAATAGAAACTGTATTTCTGTCTTCACAGGTGAGCAAACAAGTCAGCAATTTTAAGTGTTTTGACTGTGTTTAAATGCTGTTTATTACTGTCGCAGTGCACATTGAAGCTGCAGTTGTCTGTTTTATTTTTTATTATTTTTTAACCCCTCACTGCTTGCTAGCAGCTCAACACCGAATCACAACATTTTTACACACACAGAGCCAAGAGAGTCTCAGATAACCTGGAAACCGATAGATCTTACTTGTCTTTATTAAAAATATGAGTCGATTTCCATTTCACCGGTGGAATTGGCACTAGGGGGTCTGCACAAAGAGACTACATCACCTAGAAACACATTACACTGAGGGTTATAAGGTTCAGTGAAGGGCAGTTCTGTGATAACTGGCCTTAAAGTTCCAGAGCACCCTAAGGCTGTTAAGAGAAACCATTTTCATTTTGTAATTGCTTTGGTCTCAAAAGCTAAAATGTCCTCTGTAATGGTTCAGTACCTTGACACAAATTCCAGATGATTTAGAACCTTATTATCCTATCATCTCAACCTGAGACTGCAGAAAGGAACCTGGGTGAGATTAAGTAAGTGATAAGAAGGCATTTGTGAAATGGTGTCAGACATGTAGACGTTCTCCACCAGATGGCATCCATGCACTTACTTCTGTTCAATTCTCTTCACGTTTTTGTAGAGGAGCCTTTCTCAACTGTTGCCATTCAGCTCCACTGTTCATGTATTTTAGAGCCACAGAATAGCCTAGGTTTTTATATGACAAACACTTTTTGTATAAAATCAGAATATTATCTTACAAAACACACAATTTTCCACTTAGCCCAAAATGCAGGCGCTCAGCCAAGACATGTTTGGTGCCTGAAGTTTGCCTCTTTAGTTTTACACTGGAGCTTACACCTCATCAGTTAGCATTAGCATTAGCATGGGAAAAAATAAAACTTAATATGTGGCCTGTGAAGATGTTTTGACGCATTTTATATTTTATCTTTGTCCAGCAAATAAATAACAACTGTCCATTAAAATACCATATTTAAGGTTGTTCAATGTAGAGGATGTGTTATTTTCACTTAGATAATCAACAAAATAATAATCAAATTTTGCATACAACTGTACCCGATGAAACAGTCACTGAACTCTTTTCTCAGAGAATATGGAATAAACACAGGAGACAGGCCATGTCGATCATAGAAAATATTATTTTACTAGAGAAGGTTACAAAAATCATCACTATACAGGATTCATAAAACATTTGACTTTTCAAATAAAATGGACTATGAAACATCTAGGACTACAATTTCCATCAACGTACAATGGATTATTATTTTTTTCTTTTAAAGGGAGGGTAGGCGGGGTAAAGGGGGGAAACACTGTCTACCATAGTTCGTCAGAACAGTGGACTACACATCACCTATGGAACCGCGAAAGAAAAAAAAATAGAATATTATCTCTCCTTCATGCAATAACGAGGGAACGATAGAACATTCAGGCACACATCTTCTTATACAAAAACAGGGCAAAAAAAGAAAAATAAAGAAGTAGTGGGCACATCCCTGCAGTCACGTCCCTTTAACAGAACAGAACATACAGCAAGAGAACAGTTTATAATCGGTAGTAAATACCACGGTATGGACAATACTAACATGCTTAAGAGTTCTGAGACGTCAGAAAGAAGAGTTAGTGTTTCAACGTTTTTAAAGCGAGAGCGAAGAAAAAGAGAATTGTGGTGAGAATCCATAGTGAGGAAGAGAGAAAAACCACTAACTATATATACTGTATATATATATATATATATATATATATATATACACACACTGTGAAAACAAGGCTCAGTCATAAAATCATGGAATTCCTGTCATGTCTTTTTTACGTGGCGGTCTCGGGATAACACATATCCACATACTGAAGGAAATCACTGATCAGCTCACAAAAACTCTCGGTAAATATCATCAAGCCAGCCATGAGAAGGTTCCACAAGAAGACAGCAAAAAATAAACCACCAGTATCGAAAGCATGTATATAAACAAAGTTGAATGTATTTTTAATAATCTGTTACAGATCCTTTTTTTGAACAGTTCTGAAAAAATATGCATTGAATTTACTTCTTTCTGTATCATTTCCACAACAAATATACTACATTAAAGTCATATTGGAATGAAAATTGACCTTTTTTAAATCTTCGATTGAATTGTACTGATTTTTGACCCATCTCTAAAACTCCACTGATTTTTGATTGCATCACTGTGCACCAGTGGGCAGAGCAAAAATAATAGAAGCCAATTAACAGCTTAACCTCCCCCAAGAGAAAATGTTTCATGTTGACTTTAACCACGATTTGCCTTTCAGTTCCCTTTGTTTTGGCAATAACTGGTTTAATGTAATAGATTGTATTTGTGTGGAAATGATGTTCACGTCTGAATCAGGTAAATTCAGTGCAGTTTCACTGCTTTAATAATCTGTGTTTGGACCACTAAAAGAAGAAGTGTTCATTGCCCCTCAAAGAACATCTACAATTGAGGAGAAATGAGGAATAGTTAAATGCTCTCTGTGCCTCTAAGTTCTTTTGTTTCCACTGAGAATATAATACTCCATACAGTTCTAAGTAATCAGATTATAACGCTGTTTGTGTAGTTTACGTTATTATTTCTCCTTCCAATTTAATATTAATTACTTTATCAACATAAATTGCAATGTTTTGTCACTATGTTAATACTACTATATTACACAAACAAACCAGTGCCCTCATTTTTTGTGTATATCAGTTTCACATGAATAAAATATATTATATCATTGACTAAACTAAGTAAATACATACAATATTTACTAAAGGTTGGCAATCATTATGTACTATGCAGTGTATAAAGCAATAATAATGATTCTATGTTAGGAGGTGTTGTTAAAATACGATAATTTGACAATTATTAGGTAATTTAATTTAGGCTTCTATTGATATTAATCACAGTAAACAACTCCACTGATAAACAGTACAGATTGCTAAGAGTAGGCTATGGCTGCCAAGCTGTATTCAACTTGCTGCATGAATACAGAATTCAGTTGATGATGTGCAGCCATAGGTGGATGTATTTTACCCCAGCTTCAAACCTGCCTCAGCCAGTCAGATTTTAGAACCAGTTCTATCCAGTTTCATAATAGTGATTTTACTCATGTGCAACTGATGTACAAGCTTCACTCTAGCAAATTCAAAGAACAATTTTTTTTCAATGTAGAATTATTCCGCAGTTCACGTTCCTTTTTCTTGAGTTATAATTAACAACAATTTACCAAGAAATTCACACTTTTTAGAGAAGTGTTTATAGTCTTGCCATTTTAGAATAGTGCAATGTATCAAGTACCAGTATAAAAAAGAAAAAGAAAGAAGGTTAGTAATACAAAAAAAGCAGTTCGGAAAAAAAACAGAAGTCGTGGTAACCAAGAAAGAGAGAGAAAGAGACCAGAGAAATATCATATTAAACCTGGCATACGTTAAGTATTAAAAAAACCAACAACATTCGTACACTTTCACACATTTATATATATTTATATATGTATAAAACACCAAAAAAGGAAGTTCCTGCAAAATGTCTGTATTGTGTTAGTGCAGACAGTAACAGCTGTGAGGTAGTGCTTTACTCCAACAGTGCGTCATGAAGCCAGAGACAACCCAGTTACGAGCACGGCTCAGCACTTTCAATATATTTTTTTAAGACATTAGCAACGAGCACTGAAATAATTACACATGCATTTTCATACAACCTTACCAACATCGAATAAAACACATCTATATCATCATTAACTGCACAATCTGCAAAATGGATTCTGTCATTTCTTATAACTTTTACATAAAACCAATAACCAATGTCATACCGTGGTCGTAACTGCTTATAACTGCATTGTTATAACACACTGTTGTTGCAGCGCACTACTAGGCCATGTTAGTTAGCATTGTATTGTATTTCTGTGTGTGTATGTGTGTGAAGTTGTGGGGTTAAAAGGAGGGTTAAGTCGATCTGCACTGGAAAAAATTATATGTTGGCAAGAGAAAATATCTTGAATGTAGGCCATATATTTGGCATTTCTCATTATGAGATTAGTGTAAAATTATTACAAAATAATTTCACCTACTTAGATCATATTATCGTATTTTAGGCAATCAGGTGAAATTACCCGACTAAACTGCTGTTGAGACAACAAAGCCTTGTATCTCCATTTTTGTCATTTTGAATTTCTTTTACATAATTTGGCAGCTGCATATTACATTATACTCAAATTTGATGCTGAATCGACCAATAGAAATGAATTCCCATTCAAAGGCAAGGTTTTTTCCTTCTGTAAAAGATATGAGGTTTTGTCTGACAGTCACAATTTACTTCCCTCAAACATTATTTCTTAAAATAAGCAAAAGTATCTGGCAGTGCAGTGTGAAAATGTCACTTAAAATAGGTAAAAAATATAGAAATAGACTGAATAATCTGATAATAATCTTACAATAAAGATATAATCAGCAATGGTCAATATTTTGCCTACATTCAAGATGTATTCTCTTGGAAAGATATAATTTTTCGCAGCATGTGGCGTGACTTCGCCTTGTTTATGAGTAAGAATTGAGGCCCTCCTTAGAGCGCGACTGCACATCTTGCAGTTCGGCGTCATCCTTGGTCTTGATGTCCTGGTAGGCATGGGTCTGCTGGCACGCCCCCTTCAGATATGCCCAGTTAGCCGACAGGATCATAAGATAGTGGATCTGTGGAGAAGTAGAAGGGAGAAAAAACAGAGAGAAGAAAAAGAGAGGAGAGAAAGAGGTAGGGAAAGGAGGTGGATTAGCAGTAAGTGGGTTAGTTAGGCAAAGCTAGCTACACTTAGTTAGTTTGCTAGCTTTCAGTTAGCTAGCTTTTTAGACTACAATTAGTGATAAAATCTTAATGAAACCTATTTAATATAATGAATGTTAATTAAAGTATGCAGTAACACATGAAGCATGGTTACGTAACCGATGTAAGATGAGTTAGCAAACAAGGAATGATGAATGGGTAGCTAACCAACAACAGTGCTAAGCGCTAAAGAATGCACGACAATCTGCAATTCGTTTGCTGAAATAACAAGTCAGAGAGTTCTTGTTCTACATATTAAATGTTTATTTTCGCATCATTATGACTTGGAAAAGTGCCTCTACTGGTCTGGAAGCCAAACTACATCTGAACGTCATGAACAAAAAATTGTCAGGCAAAGCCAAACGTCAGTGTTTGAACACCACAATAAAGGCGCTAATAGTAAGATGTGTTTACTAGTCCCAGTTCTGCAAAACATAAAATACTCTCAGGATCAGTGTAAAGTACAATTCATGCCCTTCACAGGTACAATTGACAAAAAGTGAAGATCGAAGTTGAATCATAACACCATAAACGAAACATTCCTATTGCCCTTCCATTCACCTTGTGTTATATACGCTAGATAGACTCTGCACAGCTACAGCACTTGACCTGCCATTTCTACCTGACCATCGCCTTGAATACTGGTGCCTCAGGGCGTGTACTGTATAATCCAATGGACAGAACATGTCCCTGAATACTGATCCTGGGCCTGATACTACTTGCCTGAGCTTAATTCTATTCATTAAATTCTACAGGACAGACGCCATCTAGTGGACTGGCATTGAGTTACACGTTAATACAAGAGGCCTTATGGGACCTAGTTGGCCGGCAAAGCTCTAAGGCGTAAAACTGGTCATCTTGAACACACAAAATGAACAGAGATGAGGATTAACAAAGAAATTCATGGCAGAACACAGGGTCAATGAATTAAATGTGCTTTCTCATCTAGGAACACACCGTTCTTGATTACGACAAGGAAGAAACGAGAAACGATTTACTGCACTACATCATCCTGATGATCAACGTAATCCTCAGTAAGCTACTGTATGGTCCATGGTGTCAGTAGTACTCTTTCTTAACTCTACCTCCCTTTTCTCTCTAACCCTCAACCCATTTCTACCTCCCCCTCTCCTCTCTCTCTCTGTCAGAGCACTTGTCCACACTTTGCGGTTGCCCTCTCGAAAGCTCCGGTTTAAAACTTAGTGGTGTGGGAGTGGTCATGGCTTTTAAACTTCAGCACGGCATAGTTATACGTGGTGGCCATCATGTAGATGAGCTGGGAGGAAGAGAGCAGAGAACAGAGCGAGTGGGTGACATGGATCTTAAAGCGATAGATGGGCAAAGAATCAAATTTACACATTTTCCCCTTATACCTAAAGTTTTTGAGGAGTATTGACTCAAAACATATAGAGTTGTTAGGCCACACATTATTATAGCAATGTGCTTCTAGCCACTAACACTGCGTACATAAAATAATTTAGATTTTTTATAAGCAATCATTTCTTATTGAAAAATAATTATTCTGAATGAAATACTAAACAATAACTGCAGTGTTCTCTCAAGTGGCTACATTATTGACACTTCACATGCTACACACTATATCCATTCCACTTTCGCACAATGTTGCTTTTAGGCAACATATTTAAGCAATTTCTCATGACGAAAAACATTTATATGATGTAAAAGTGAACTTCACACTCCAACATCTTTGTATGGACAAAGAAATGATGAAAATTTGTTTTTCTGAGGAAAACTTTCTGGTACAGAAACGTGTGTCATCTTCAAGCTGCACCATGCCATAAGGTCCTCTCTTCTCTTTTCATTTTTAACCATTTGATTGCCATTAAATATGTATCATGTCACTGTAAAGTGATTTAATTTTGAACTGGAACTATGAGGCTAATATAGCTAAAAAGGAATGGAAGCTTAGGTTCACCAACTATCATCACATTGTGGTGTCCGCCATAGGCCGCGCTGCCATGGGGAGCTTAGGGGGTGTGAAGTGGCTCTCAGGAGGTGGCAAGTTCCCGGTAGAAGAAAGATGGTTGTTGTAGCTGTTGTTGTTGGGTTGTTAAACTGTGTGGAGGGTGGGCTTTGTGTGTGACTTTGTCTACCCTCTATGCATGTTGTGCCATCCCGCGTTACCCCCTACATGGTTTCGTTTTGGGGTAGTGCTGGACTGCACATTTCTAGCGTTTGTAAAGACTCCTTGTTGAAGTGCCTGTTTCAATAAAGAGCATTTGCCCATACGTGCAGTGTTTTTCTGCATCTTCTTCTGCCCTGATGCTCCAACATAAATACATATCTAAGCCATCACACCTGCCTCAAACCATGTTCAGTTGTTAAGTAATCTTAAATAGACTTGCTAATGTAGTTACTGACGCTGTATGACATACTGTTACCAATAAAAATACAAGAGTATGGACAAATTTCTGGCAATGCAATGTATTTATGTCTATTTTTATAGAAACAATATATTATACAGAAGCAAGTCTATTAGAGATTGCATAACAACTCAATATGGTTTGAGGCAAATGTGCTATGACTTAGCAATTTAGCTTCATGCTATTTTAATCCAATGCTAATTACTGGGTTATAAACTTTCATTACTTGTTCGCTACATTAGCCTCGAGGCTCCAGTGTATAACTAACACCAAACATTTTCATAGCTGATCGAGTACATGTGGGGAAAACTGTGTAAATGTGATTTTTCATCAAACTATCCCCTTAAACATAGTCCTGGGTAAATGGGAGTCACATATACTCAAGCACACTGAGCATTATGTAACTATGCAATTACGTCATTGAGATAAACAGGAATGTTCTTAAGCAGAGCTGAATACTGAACTGAATACAACTGAAACATTACAGTAGTCCTAACATGACTCAAAGACCCAAAACACAACACCTAAAATCACAGCAATGTTATGGTATGTAAACATACGTCATGTGGACAAAACAGGTTTAAAAAGAACAAATTCAAATATTGTGTCTTTTGGCTTGTAAATGGACTTATTAAGACTGGAACCTTACCAGTGCAATCACAGTGGCTCCAGCTCCGGCACACGCAACAATGTAGAGATGGTAGGACAAATAGAACTGCAAAGGCAGGAAAGTAAGGAAGGACAGACGTCATGTTGGAGCTTTATTACACTAAAAGATTCAGTCTCTAAAAGGCCCAGGCTGTGCAACATATAAAATGGAGGCAGACGTGTTTTAGTAATTCATTTTTCTAACTGCTCTTTTATTAAATTAAATTTTTCTTCCAATATGTTTAACTATAGAAATTGTACACTAACATTTGCAGAAAAATGCCATATTTGAGTTGCTCCCTAGACAATGTGTTAACTTATTTTCACTTAGAAAATCAACAAAATGTAATTTGACCGGGGGTATTCAGACTCTGGCACATGTCACTTGTTCTGAATGGCTGCTGTGTATTGAGCCTTGTCCAAAAAGCAGTCTGAACTCAAACATGATTGGTGGGCTAACCTGCTGTATGCCACTTGTAAATGTGTTCACTGATGCTTTCAAAACAAGCTGTTTTTGGCACACAGTTTTAATACACTGTATATACTACTGTGACTTCTTATTTCAAAAACAAAAACAACAAAACATCATTTTTACATGATATGGGCCTTTTAATACAACAACTGTACTATAGCTTTACTATAAAGCTTTATACAGTTAAGACAAGGTAAAATGGGTTTAAATTTACCTCACTGGTGTTACAGATGTCAGCCAAGGTTTGTCCACATGCCTTACCAGGATCAGCATTCCAAGGAATGACTCCTGACGCAGGACAAAACAACAAACATTACTTTTCAAGAAAGCATTTCAAAGTTTTGTTTCCAAGGAAAAGAATATAAACCCTTCTGATTTTTCCTGCTCCATTCATCACAACAAATCCAAAACAGGGGCACTGAATAACACATTCTTCTTAAATCTCAACTTAAAGATCTCTAAAGATTTGTCACTTTCAAAAAGCTTTCCTTGTTTTCATTTTTTCCATTCCTTTTAAGAGTTTTTTCCATTACAAAATTGCTGCTCACCACAGAAGCTTTATAAAATGTATAAATAAAAAAACGTGAATTATCCCCCACTGCATAGATTATCCCAATTGGAAATTAGAAAGTGTTTAAATTTCCAAACTGGAACTGTCATATTGTTTTTACCATGGAGAAGCAGTAGATACAATTTCTGTAAATAGAAGCGTTATGATCCTGGATGAACCAATGTATTATTGAGAAGAGATACACACACACACACACACACACACCCACACACACACACACATCATCATCATCATCATCTAAACCGCTTATCTTTCTGGGTTGCAGGGGTGCACTGGTGCCCATGAGAAGAGATAGTCTTATGCAAAAGTTTGAACACCCAACACAAAAGACATGTTTTGTTGACTTTAGAGAAAATAAGTGAACAAATCTTCTAAATCAAAATGAATAAAGCATGTCATTTGACTAGGGGTACCCAAACTTTTGCATAAGACTGTATATTATGGTCCCTCTGCAACAAAGCACAGACTTGAGGGTACAGTCCTTTCCTTGGTTTAGCACTCTATAAGCCATTATACCTCCAGTCATTATACCTCCAGTCATAAATGTCTATTCACTGCAGATGTGGTCAGGTTTGGACATCAATTCTCAGATATTTTCTGAATTCAGGTCAGGATCAAATTCAAGTCCATATTTCTCATAGTCTAGTCTCAACCTCAGACACTCCACAAAGGTAAACGGAGTACCTGATATCTATTATATGCTAAGCTAAAACAAGAGTCTGTGGCTGGTCAGTTTACATGTGAGTCAAGTGGCCCTTTCCGGTTGAAGCAGGCAGTTCTTGGCTACACTGAGCAAGGAAACCCACCAGACTCTCGCACAATAGAAATCTGGAATTTAGCTTGTGTTTATCACTACTTTAATTAAAATGGGTTCACCTTAGAATTTAGAAAGAATTTGGTTGTGGCTACATTCAGGTTTAGATTCTACAGTCAGTGCTGTGGGTTGGGTCAGTCTCAAACAGAAGGTTCTCAGGCTATATTTGGGTTTAGTTGAAAAATTTCAGGCTCATTTAAAATTAGTGTACTTGAACCTTTTAATGCCAAAAAATGCTTTGAGGTCATATTTTGGACTCATGAGGGCACCAAGCTTAGGGATCTTTCTGTACACCACCAACAAATGAAGGCCTTTAATGTCTTTACTGATGATCATTCCAAATCACATTTATGCCACAGCGCTGTAGCTGTATCGCTTTTCACTTCCTCACTTCTCTCCTACTGTAAAATGACCTGCAGTAGAACATTTGGAACTCACTCACCGTACTGCCTCACGTCCACACAGATGTTGTCCACAGAGGTGAGGTTGGCGATGGGAGACTTCATGGCGGCGCATGTGGTCCACATGTTGTAGAAGAGGAAGACAGGCACTGCGGAAAAGCCGAAGATGCCCAGCCAAGCCAAGCCCAGGATGTAGGTCAGGAACACAAACTGAGATAAAAACGGAGAGAATGAGTTTACTGTCCATTCATATGGCCACTACAACTGTCTGAATATATGCACTTTAGCATTTAGGAGGTACAGTTATTACCAGCAACAGCAAAAGCATGTTACAATTTGTACTAACTATTTTTCACCCATAACTCATTGAAGCAAGCAGAGAAATTTTGTGGAAAGTGCTGTTTCTAATTCTTTGGGTTTTTAAGTGAAAGAAGAGATAATCTATTATGATTTGAATTATTACTTTTCAACATCAAAACAAATAGTAAAAAAGTCCATTTCATTGACTTGAAACTGTCAATACAAAATGAAAATGAAATGTAACTATATATCCTTATGTAACTACTTATATTTAATACATAGAGCAAAACAACAGTAATATATCTAGACCTCGATGTGGTCTCAGTAGAGCATCCTTTGTCTGAAATGCGACTGAATTAATGTAAATTGCATTTAAATTTAATAATCCTTACATTAAATGAATGTTAATGACTGGTTTAGCAAACTAACGACTATAGTGTTGTCATGAGCCATCGCTGTCTTAATGCTTATTTGGAATATGACCTAATATGATGGCCTATTTAAGACTAAGGCCTTATCCATGGGATTACAACAGTGGCACATGTGAACTTACACAACCACACACACACACACACACACACTTACACACACACACACACGCACACACATGCCTGCAAGGCTTTAAAGACTGATGTTACTGGACATCTGTAGCAATTAAAGGAATTAGGCTACATAGTACTAACTGTGCCAGAACAGTCCTCCGGGGCTGGGCTTGGCCCGCATGTGTACAGTATGTAGTATGTGTATATGTGTGTGTGTTTGTGTGTGTGCTAGGGGTGTAAAATGCACCAGTGCATCGTGATGCACAAATCTGAAAGTAGCAGTTCAACCACATCAATTTTGTGATGTTATGAGTCGATTATTCCATTATATTTCTTTATAATAATGTTAGAATTATAAGTACACATTCTAATACTAATACTAATAATAATAACAAAAGATTTATGTATTGTTTTGTAGTCTATATTGCACTACTGTGTAAATAGTAGTGTAAACAGCCATTACTGTCTGTGTTGTCTACATTCTATCATTGTATCTATGTCATTACTGTCTGTCGTCTATATTCCATTACTGTCTATGTTGTTTATATTCCATAGCTGTCTATGTTGTCTATATTCAATTACAGTCTATACTCCATTACTGTTTGTGTTGTCTATACTCCAGTACTGTCTATGTTGTCTTTATTCCATTACTGTCTGTCTTCTATATTCCATTACTGTCTATATTCCAGTACTATCTATGTTGTCTATATTCTGTTCCTGTCTATATCGTCTATATTCCATTATTGTCTATATCCCAGCACTGTCTAGGTTATCTATATTCTACTACTGCCTATGTCGTCTATATTCCATTACTATCTATTGTCTATATTCCATTACCATCTATATTCCAGTACAATCTATATTGTCTATATTCCAGTCGTGTCTATATTGTCTATATTCTATTACTGTCTATACTGTGTGCAAATAACTATATTCCGCAACGGTCTATATTGTGAATATTCCAGTACAGTCTATATTGAGCATATTCCACTACTCTGTAAATAGTCCTGCGTAAATAGTTCAGTCCCCATTCCATGACTTACTATATTCTCTATATTCTCTATAGTGTGTAAGCACTACTGTGTATATAGTCCAGTCAGCACTGTGCATTCTGTGTATCTTTAAAAAGAATTCTAATGAAATTTGAGCTTTTATAATGAACTATAATGAACAATATAATGAGCATGTGCATGCTTGTGTGTATCTCCACTCTTACCATGGCACTGATGCAGCGGCCACACACAGTGGTCTTAAATTCGCTGTGCATCTCTTTGACGGCGCTGGTCGTGTAGAAGCCCTCAGCCAACAGGATGATGCCATAGAGGAAGAAGAAAGAGGCGATGCCGTAAATGATGTACTGCAGAATCTGAACACTGCACAGAAAACAAGACAACACAGAAGAGAATGTTATTTAGAGCAACAGTGGGACAGAGAGACAGAGCTGTGTGCTGCATTATGCATAGTCTGTATCCAAAACAAATGCATATAGCCCTGAAGTCAAAAGCAATAACCCATTCCTTCTCTACAGGAACTGAATCTGTCAGGAACAGAAATATCAACACTGTGCTTCAGCAGGGCTGTGATGTCTATATGCTTATATTCAGTGACAATTTTTTGGAGCACATTACTCACTCCAGTCCATTTTTGGCCCTAGTACTTGGTCACACATATACAGGCACGTAAGCAAAGGCTGTAGCAGATGGAGAGGCATGATGACACTTGAGCTCTAAACCCAGAACACAATCTCACTCACTGAGGCGCTCACTTTTCCCTTTCTCGCCTTCTCCTTTGCTTCACCAGTGATTATTAAGTATACTTACATTAAACATAAAGGTACCACTTTAAAATAAGACTACCCTTATAAAGCGTTTATGAATGGTTTAAAAATACTTTGTTAATGGTTATTAGTTAAGTCATAAACGCTTTAAAAAGTATTAATAAGCAGTTATAGTACATTATTAAAAAAGGGCAAAAGTGAGCTGTTATAGCTGATGAATATGAATATGTGATGAAGCTGATGAGTTTAATGCTGACTGTTGGAGAAGACAAAGTAAGATGAGTGAACATCAAATTGTGAGGTTTAACAGTGTAAGTGAATGAGGGTTCACTATTAGCCAAATAACAGGTCACTGTTGCCCTTTTTATCTCTGTGTTGTAACTCTTGTCTTTGGTGTGCTCCGCCGTAAAGTTTTTCTGACTACCTATCCTGGGCATAGTTACAGTTGCTAGGTTATGATGGACCAATCGGGTGAACCAGTTTGCTACAGCGCCACCTTGAGGCACACCAGTGCTGCATCTGTAGTTAGTTAAGAATACCAAAGAGAAGCTCGCCAATTGTGAGTAAAGCATTATATATCTATCTATATATATATATAGATAGTACAAATTCAGGGAAAGGTCACTGTTTAGCTGCTTCACACACAATTGGCGAGCTTCTGTCTTTGGTAATTATATTTATTATATACTATATAATTATAATATAATAATAGTAATATAATACTGTAATTTCCAGGACGCCACAGAAATTTGATTTTGAGACATTCAGGGGTTTCAAGGGATAATTAGGGGATCCCGGATTCCCCCAGGACCCCCTGTATTTCGTACCTTGGTCATTTCCTATCAACCTCTTGGAGCAGGCAGCAATACTTTCCCCCATCACTCACTTCTCAAGCTGTGACATCTCCCACCCCCACTACACACACCCCCACACACTTACACGTTGATGAGGGTGGCGTGGTCTGATGTGATGCGGGAGAAGTGGTTCTCCAGCATAGTCACAGTGCCTGTCAGTGCCACATGCCCACAGCCACAAAACAGCGCCACTCCCGAAAAGCACAGGATGGTGGCCACCAATGAGGCGTACGGCACCCCGCCCAGACACTTAATGCAGCAGTCCAAGCAACCTGCAGCGGGAAAAAAGAAAAGAGTGTGTTAGATTTCACTAGGTGTTAATGTTACTGGGATAATGAAGCCAAATACACTGATGTGGCTAACAACACACCTATTCAGACTGGATTGGTTTATCAAAGGGACACCTGTAATGAAACGTTTACATCTCCTCAGTGAAAAACTACCACATTCCAATGGACGGACGGATGGAGGGCAGGATACGCACATTTCTAATGGGCTGTATTTTCTGTGAATCCAGATGTTTGTGTCACATGTGTTCATATGATCACAGAAAACTAAATCGATGGAGATGAAAAGCAAGTAAATGGTTGAGAAACTCTTGTAAAGCATCCATGGTTATGCAAGAAGTGTTTAACCCCTTAAATGGCATTTAATAATAAGCCTTAGTATGTAGTAAGCCTGGGATTTTAAGGGGTTAATATAGATACGTGTGCTATGAGATGCTCTTCAGGATGTAGGCAAATATATGGTTAGATTATGACAGATATGATTAGCATGAGGAGAGGATCATCACAGCCTCAAAAAGTTCACAACAAGATCCAAAACACCAGTAAACCCCAATGAACAGAACGACATAAGACATTCTCAAATACGACAGCCTGGGACAAAGTTTTGTGGACAAAGACGAAGATTAACCTGTAACAGACTGATAGACGTGGTGACAAAAGGGAACTGCTTACTTCTTTAAAGAACTCTTTTAAAATGGTTCTACATAGTACCAAAAAGGGTTCCATTATTGAAACATGTCAGAGAACCTTTTTTCATTACTATATAGAACCCTTTCTGCTAAGAGTGTACAGACGAATTTTCAACCTAAGCAATTATGGTAAACAAATTTTTTTATGCTATTTTATGTTCATTTTCAAGTTGATTTTGGTTCCTCAAACGTGCTGAACACAAAGGATGAAATTATGAAAATTTCCATATATTCATACAGATTCTGCACTCTTTCATAGTCACTGCTACATTTCCATTCCATTGTGCTGGACTACAGAGCCAAAACAACAACACTGAACAGTTGTTCATGAACTGCACTGTATGTTGAACTCTGAGCCCAGGTCTGGTATCCATATCATTTTCACTGCTACATCAAGCTTTCCTCCACATGGTTTAACAATGTAGGTTAGAAGCATCCAAGCTATTTCTAATTCTCTGGTTGTGGTGGAAAATTCTGGCACCCCCAGAGGTGAAACTCATGTAATCAGTGTCTTGACACCTCATTCTGACAGATTCATGTCAGATCAAATCAGCTGGCTATCCACGAAGAGCAGGACATCACACACTAGTCATGCAGTATTAGGCTGACAATCAGTGCTCTGTAAAATCTCTACAATCATAAGAACTTCTGTCAGTGTGAATCATATTTTTCACATAGACAGACTGCTAATTAGGAACATTGGATGATCTTCAGCCCTTGTTACTTGCAAGCACGGCTGTGCAATAAACCACATAATCATTAGCTTAGCGTTACACGACCTCTGCAGTTTGCTAACTGTGAAAAGTTTCCTTTCAGTAGCATTTACAGTAATACACTAGCTGCAAGGAGAATTCCTAGCAATTGCCAGATATCATCTTTTCTTGACTCATTGCACACTCTGATGAAGGCTTTCAGCAAGCGTAGCACTTAATGGAAACCACTAAACTGGGCCAATGTTTACATTTACGGCATTTAGCAGACGCGCTTCCCCAGAGCAACTTACAAAAGTGCTTTGTTGTCCAGTTCGAGAATGTATACTAGCTAGTACAAACAGTCAAAAGTACTCTTGAGCTAAGATGCTGCCAGAGTCAGTGCTGATACTTAGAAAGACCAGCAAGTAACACTTAACCCGAAAAATGCTTTTTAATACTGTTAAAAAGGTTCTAAATAGCACCAAAGAAGGGTGCTTACTGTAGAACCCTTTTAGCTAAGAGTGGGCAAAGTATTTTTAACCAAAACAAGTTGAGAACACAATTTTGAATATTAGTTTCTGTTACTCTGTCTGCTTGATGTCGGTTCCTTTAAGCCAAATGTGCTGAATAAAAGGAAGAAAGTATTAAAAAATCCTATATTGTTCATACAGATGTGAAAAGCAAATCAGTGCTTTCATTCAGCACTTAAACCTCATAGTCATTGCTTAATTTCCAATCCATTGTGCTGGACTACAGAGCCAAAATAACAAAAACTCTGTCACTGAACAGTTGTTCATGAACTGCACTGTTTGTTATACTCTGAGCATTGGCCTGGTATTCATATCGTGTCTAATTTCTATTCCATAGCTGACTGGCCAAATGAACACGTTCCATACATTTATATTTTAGAGGAGCTCACTGATTGGCAGGGTGGAAGCTCAGCAATAGGTGAAAAGGTTCTATATAAAACCATTTACAGCATACCTCCATCAATCTGAAGAAACACTAAGTATTTCCAGAGTGCTTACATACTACGTGACCTCTTCTGTTGTAATGCAGACCTACCTGCAAGTCCCAAAATACCTAATACTGATCAGGGTTGGTGATATGGTAAAAATATTATATCACGATTCTGTAAGACATTTACATGATATACAACATGCATCATGAGGTATAATAAGTTCCAACAGCCAAAACAGAACCTGTAGTGCCATATACTACAGTATTAAAAATACCTACAACTACATTTTTATTCAATGTTTCACAAACTGCACTTCACTAAATCCAGTTAAACAGGACTCATTACACTCACTTATTGAAATGTGCAGTGAAACATGCAGTTGGGAAGTGTTTTTAAGTACATAATTCATGATGATAATGATAAAAGCATCATATTGCCCACCTTTACTGCAATTAGTTTGTGTATCTTGCAGCTTTGAGTATTTTACAAGGCAAAGCATTTTGCTACATGTGCTGAGAAATAAGATAACACCCTAATAGATATGCATTCTAACCACAATGTGACCACAGTGACACAAAGTATGACCACTGAACAAATCTTTAAACCAAACTGAAGACCACAAAGCCACCTTCTCTCAACCTAATTGGTTCTTGGCTTGAAAGTATGCTTCTAGGAAAACCTTTAATTGGTATAGAATTACTACATTTACATTATGTGGAGGTTCTATGAACTCTAAAAGGAACGAACCATTAAAATGTTTTTCAGGGAGCTACAATGGGTTCTTCTAAGATGTCGCTCTAAAGAACCTTTTTAGTACATTTAGTTTTAAAAGTGTACATTTCTAAAACTTCTCTCTCAGAGAAAAACAGGGAAAGCAAGTTTCTGTTCTCTGTCAACTTTTAAGTCTCACTCAAAACTTTTCAACCTCACACCTGACGGGACCCTGTGGAACGTTAAATATTGAATAAGCGGTGCTGCTTCACTATCGGCCTGTGCTTTTCCCTGCCTTTTATCTTCTACTAGATACTCATGTCCAAAAGAATCAAAACAGCCCTTCTGATTGGTAATTAGTCACCAGTGGAAATTCTTTTTAGTCTTGGCTTAATCTGGGTCTGGGCCATAGTGTACATTAACTAGTCTCCTAGGGCCAGACGTGGTCTCATAACGAGAATACACATCTGCAGAGAACTTATTAAAGTTTTCAGCGCTAACAAAAGTATGCCCACCTCTAAATTCCACCCCAAAAATGCCTGGGTTGTTTTAATGTCCGGAGAACGATTTTCCCTTCCAAGAGGTTTATTTTTACCACATGTAATGTGTTCTCCGCACATACAACACATCTGCTTGCTAAATGAGTTTTTAGGGGAACCTTTCAGTCATGCTAACTTACATTACATCCATGTGCTAACGACAGGGTTGCTGTCTGTTGGACAATGTTAACGAGTGCACCATCGGCCTCAACTTCAACATCGGCCTTCTCAAGGTGCTGGATTGGTTTCCCAGCCACATTTAGCCTGAAATTTCATATGTTTCATCACGAGAACACATCTGGCCCTACATCTTATCCAATGACTCTGGTAATTGATTTTCTCCTTCTTCATAAAAGATGCATAAATCTTTTAACCTTTTGTCATTTCTGGGGCAGAAAGCAGCAGAGTGAAAATCCATTTGCATATGTTCACCAGAAGTGGCCAACAACCCTGGTCCTGTAGATCAACCTACCTGTAAAGTCTAGTTTCAACCACATTCTGCCACACATACTCCAGCTAATTAACTTCTTCAGAAGTCCTTGACTGGCTGGATCAGATGCATTAACTTTAGGCAAAGTGGGCGTGGCATATAAGTTCCAGGTTGGAACTAAAGTCTGCAGAAAAGTAGATCTCCAGGGGGAGATTTGGTGACCACTGCTTTACAGAAACTGGGTCCTGATCCATTACAACACATTGCCATTGCACCCTCAGATGACCACTGTAACAAATTAGGTTAACGACAGCTTACAAAGTAAATTTCAGAAGCACAAAAAGAAGCTTATGCACGTTCTGACGGTAGCAGAAGCTTTACTTTTCCCTTCATACCTTGATGGTAATTCAGAGAGGCCAGTAAGCAGAACAAAGCCGAGAACCATAACTAATCCAGGAGAAAACACAGACGTAAAGGTCAGCCCTTGAAAGCTCCGAGCCCTATGACCCGCTCATCCCATTAGCGATGCTAATTTATTTTTACAGTGGATAGAGCTGCCCTGAATATACATAACCATCTGTTCCCTGATGCTGCCCTTTAATGCATTCTAAAGTGATGTGCTATGCTCAGCACAGGCCATTTACAGACAAAGATAAAACACCATCTGATACATTAACCAGTCGATTTAGGTGATCATTTGACGGCAATTCAAAAGAATAATAGTTTCACATACATCATGACTGGTTGGATTAGGAGTTTGGAGGGATGGAGGGATGTGCACAGAGGATGGTAAACGGTAGAAAGATGACAGGGTGTTTTAGCGTTGGCGGGTGAGCGTTAGGAAAGGTGAGAGGGACAAAATGGAGACAAAAGAGGGGAGATACATCCTCTATGAGCATTTAAAACCTTATATAATAGCTGTTAAAAATAGCTGTTCACATACACACAGTGAGTGAGGGGGAA